CCCACAGCAGCACATTCTCACTCAGTAATGAAGATGTTTAAGTCTGCAAGATGTAGGCTAAGTCTTAAATTAAATACTGGCCCCGGGACCTGGCTGTGGGCACAAGCTTATTGACGTAAGGCTTGTGCAAGGTTGCTACTACTGAAGGAAAGTATGTGTGGACACATACACCGTGAAAGACAATTCAGACTCGGGGAAAAGAAGTCAGCACAGAGGTTGTATTTACTGGAGCACTTTGAACTACAAGTGTATTAAAGATAATGAAATTATGCTCTTCTGTTGTTCCATAATACCTGCTGCCTTTCAGCTGTATGAGCGTGGGTGCTGAGTCCTTTGAGGGACATTGAAGATATCCACAGACTCACAGAGCTCCAACTTGGAGTTCTTGGCATTTCAGCAAAAGAAATCAGGGGCACCAACAACCATTTATTTGTATTTTAAAAGATAGATGGGTCTGTACAACAGCATTGTATATCAGCACTAAAACTTCTCTTGACAGTATGCCACTAATCAATGAGACAGGTATGCTTTTGCATTAATTTACCTTTATCCAGTTAACCAGGATGCAAAACAAGGCCATTAAAAAAACAAAATGGCTTTAAGGCTTTTTTGAGTGACCAAGTGGCAATCTGTCTGAGTCCTGCCAGACATGGTGGTGTTTCAGCAGGCGTTGTGCATCCTGCAGGAGGAGACCCTGTGTCCAACAGGAATGAATTCAGAGAATCTGAAGTAAGAGTGACGGGGACAGTCTATCATGAGAGCCTCTAACACCAGGTCATCACTTTCCAGCTTCCTGAGGGGGCCTGAGACATTTCTGGAGCCGGTGAGCAAGCTGGACAGCCGGGGACAGAAGCTGCTAGCCCAGCAGCTGCATCGGCTGTCTCAGGCCAGATGGCTCCAGCGGCAGATCCCCCCGCTGCCGATCTGTGAGTCAGACCAAAACCACGCTTAGAGAACGCGTTCACCTCCTTTGCCTGGATTTGGCATTTTAGTGTTTTTTACCCCCACGTACACCAGCAAGACCGAAGCATGGTTAATTGGGTAAAGGCCTAGCTGTCCTTCAGCAGCTTTCACGCTGTTTAGCACAGGGTATCTCCGGCTGCCCCCTGCCTGCTGACCACTGGCAGCATCTCTGCCTTCCACAGGAACGTTCAAGTGCTTTTACACCTCCCTGCATCACTTTTCTAGGAACCAGTCTGAAAAAAGGTGTGGAAGGAGACACATCTACGCGTGATGACCCAGTGCCTACAACACGGGGTGTCCTGGCTAACGGCAGGCCAGGAATTACAAACATAAGCATAAGAAGAGCAACCCAAAAAGAGCTGCAATGAGCAGTTCACCCCCTCCTTCCCCCTCTGTCATCTCGTTAGTGAGGCGGCAAGAAAACTTCAACATTAACAGCCCAGCCGTAACAGACACTCGAAGCTGGAATGACTCACTGTAGGAGTGAATCGCACCCCACACGCTGGTGCAAAGCAGCCAGTGGGTCTCCTTGAAGTAAGCGTTGAGGAGCACTGGCAGGGCTGGTCTGACAGCCCACAGCTGCATCAGTGCCAGGAGGAGCCGCCATCGCACCCTCTGGGAAGCACTTTTGTTTTTCCCAGTAACAATCAATCAGTCCGGCCATTGACCTCTTCATTTCCTATTTTTCAAAAGCCGCCTATGTCAGAAGGAACGTCAAAAGGAAGTAGGACCTGACCAAAAACCATCCCTGAGTTCAATACGTTTAATACTTATCATTTGCTGCCACTTGCAAATTAAATCGGCATCCAGAGCAGCCAGAGTTCCCTTTAGATATCACTGCAGGGGCCTTCCTGTGCGGCAAGGAAAGCTGCTGGCCTGCTTACACGTACCAAGACCTTGTCAACAGATGTTGACTCTTGGCTGAATGACCATTATTACTCAAACAGGAAATTTAGCAGTATCTTTGCTCTACGGCTTCACTGCTGTTCCCTCACAGCGCCAGCACAGGGATAATCTGCTGCAGACAATGACCAGAGGGTGCATGCTGGAAGGAAGTTGGTTCTCTCAGTGACACACAGGTGAGCACCTTCTTTAGGAACAAAATGCCAAACCACAGACGTCTAGAGTCAAGTTCCAGCTACCAACTGCCACCTCTGTCCTGGAAGGGGCTGGCTTTGGCTGAACGTTGATCAGCACTACAGTACTAGTACATGGTACCAGTCTCATGAAAGTGAATTACCTCCCTTGTCAAAACCTTGGGAATGAACAAAGGGAACCCTTTGTTCATTCCCACCTCACTCCCAAGTATCACTACTTTTAAGAATGGGACGTCACATTCCACTGGTCTACTAGAATCATAGAATTGTTTGGATTGGAAGGGACCTTTAAAGGTCATCTAGTCCAATGAGCAGGGACACCTTCAACTAGATCAGGCTGCTCAGAGCCCCATCCAACCTGACCTGGAATGTTTCCAGGGATTGGGCATCCACCACCTCTCTGGGCAACCTGTGCCAGTGTTTCACCACCGTCAGCGTAGAAAATTTCTTTTTATACCTACTCTAAATCTGCCTTCTTTCAGTTTAAAGCCATTGCCCCTTGTCCTATCACAACAGGCCCTGCTAAAAAGTTTATCCTCATCTTTCCTGGAGGTGCCCTTTAAGTACTGGAAGACTGCTATAAGGTCTCCTCAGAGCCTTCTCTTCTCCAGGCTGAACAATCCCAGCTCTCTCAGCCTGTCCTTATAGGAGAGGTGCTCCAGCCCTCTGGTCATTTTTGTGGCCCTCCTCTGGACTCGCTCAAACAGGTCCATGTCTTTCCTGTGCTCAGGGCTCCAGAGCTGGATGCAGTACTCCAGGTGGGGTCTCACCACAGCAGAGTAGATGGGCAGAAATTGCCTTCCTTGACCTGCTGGCCACGCTTCTTTTGATGCAGCCCAGCATACTAGACCTAGGGAGCATCCAGCCTACCAAATTCTCATTCAGAGCACTAAAAGGAGCTAAATCAAAGCTCTTACTCATTCAACTCTCACTCCTAAAAAACTGAAGTATTTACCTCAAATAGAAGCTTTCCATAGTGAATGGAAGAGTGGTGGGTTGACCCTGGCCAGCAGCTAAGCACTCATGCAGCTCCTCACTCGCACCCACCCCACCCCAGCAGGACAGGGGAGAGAATAGGAAGAAAAAAATCTCAGGGATAGATACAAAACACAGTTTAATGGGGGAAGGAAGGGAATCCATTGCTACTTCCCAGCAGCAGACAATGCCCTGCCAGCCTCCAAGCAACAGCCACCATGGAAGGCTCCCTTCTTCTTCCTCTGTCTCATTTTTTATTGTGGAGCATGACATGGTAAGGAATATTCCCCTTTGGCTAATTTGGGTCAGCTGTCCTGGCTGTGTCCCCTCCCCACCTTTTGCCCACCCCCAGCTGACGTGGTGTGCAAGCACTGCTCAGCAATAGCCAAAACACAGGTGCATTATCAACACCCTTCCAGCCATAAATCCAAAACACAGCACCATATCCTCTTCTTGGATGGAAGCAAACTCCATGCCAGCCATACCCAGTACAGGTAGCTTAAGATACACAGCTTGAGCCCAGCGACCTACCAACTTGTTAAAGTCAAGTAAAGACAAGAGCAAGTTACTCATCAAGGGAGGTAATATTTTCAACCTCACAAAAAAAGCACACTTTCAGTACCACTGACCAAAGTCTTCTATTTTTTTCAGTTTGAGCAGAAAGATAAGGACAGCCAACAATTCATTTAATTGAGGCCTGTCTTAAGTAACTAAAAAGTTTCATTTAAACTCGTTACACGCCAACTTAGATTTGTCTGACTGACATCTCCCAAGGTGATCCATAACTTGTCTATAGAACCGTGATAAATATGGCGATATTTTACCTCTACATGGCCCAAATTCTCCAGCTTTTTCAGTCAACCAGAGGTTTAGAAGCAAACTGTGTGTTTGTCTTATATTTGTTCAGATATTAATGCATTTTAGACACCTGCCTGATTGCCTCACACTAGTTTATTAAAAAAAAGCTACAGGAGGGCTCTAACTAAACACAGGTCATACCAATTCACTGAGACCACACTGCCATCTTGGTACCTAAGACCAGAAAAGGTTAAAGGACAGTGCTTCCATCACCACCCTAAAAAAAAAAAAAAAAAAAAAGAACAAAACACACACACAAAACCACATCCAAAACCAAACTCAGCAGTTACTTGAGTCTGCTCAAGATTTATACTGGAACTGTACAGGAATCTTACTGGTCATCCCCATGTGTTCCCCAAACCTCATTCTGTTTGTGAAGGATCCAAGTTGTCTATTCCAATTTTTTTTGCATTAAGACAACTCTCATGTCCCCAGACCTTTAATTGTGGAGTAAGTTACTGTCCTGGCTTGAGGACTAAAAACTACACATCTTTATTACCATGCAGAAATTAAATTATGTTCAGGCAAGAAGGCATTCACCTTATGTCAACGGACAATAATAAAACACACCAAACATTTTATTTAATAAATTTTATTTATGCAAAGCCAATCCAAAAGTGCTGTGTAAAAGTGAAAAGCTCTTTTTACATAATAATAAAAACTTTGGTGCTTTTTTGGTTTTCCTTTTTTTTTTTTTTTTTTTTTTTTTTTTCCACATTTTCAGTGTGAGAAAAGTGAGGATTTGACTGTTTTATTTACAGGAACCCACTAAGTTTGTTTAAAAAATATAGACATACGTATTAAGTCATTCTTATTTTTCCTAAAAGCTAATTGCTGTACAGTATACAATAGCTCAAAGTGCCCAGATAACCAAGGGTATCCCATGATAAGTTGAATATACATGCTCTTCCTGTCAAATTAAGGATATTCTTGTTTTGTGACGTAACACTTCTGCCCAGTGCTTAGTTTTGGGTTTGGTTTTTTTTTGTTTGGTTGGTTTGGGGTTTGTTTCAGGGTTTTTTTTCCACCCCTCCTCCCCCTTAAATGTACACAGTAGTCAAATTACATTACTATGTCACACCCCGTGTTTCCCTTAAGGAAGAAAAGTTATGTTCCTTGACCCTCCAGTTCGGCTGCCGCTATATCTGGTTCTTCATCATTGTATATGTTTTCTGCCTAAAGACACAAAATATTACAAGTGGTAGACACAATTGCTTTTAAACAATCTTCTACACTTTATACAGAAAAAACATGATACCAAGAAGGCTCAGATATTATCCCCTCCTCAAAAGGACCCTCTCCCCGCCTTTTCTTAAAAGGCAGCCAAATTTAGGCATATGCATACAGTGGCAGTGTCTTCTCAGTTTGTTTTGTTTCAGCAAAGCCTTGGCCATTTAATTCCTTACCATGAACATTTTATTTGGACCTATCTCAACCTCAGTCTGAACACACAAAACAAGTTAAAGAACAGGTATTAAAAAAATGAAAGCCTGCCTTGTGAGAGACATTTAAGCCTGTTACATTTTTAACTTGTTATTCCCAAGTGATTTTATTCCACATTTATAAGATAACTGATCAAATTCCTGTAATGTAACATAATATGAACTAACTGGAGAGTTAAAAGGCAACTTGCTTCACAGTGAGCTGGGGGGGGAAGTAAAAACCAGTAAGTCTTGGCTAGTATTCGATGGAAGTTTGCAACTGCCACATTTATTCTTACTATTAACTTGTACCTAAGACTTGGAGTCAAGAAATAGCTAGCAGTTACATCTATTCAGGTTGGTTTAGTCTTTGTTTTCTTTTGAAAGCCCTACTCTCCAATCTAACAGTGTAAGAAGTACAGGCAACAGGCTAAGCTGTCCTCAGAAGCTGCCCTAAGAAGAACAAGCCATTTCAGTTTCATTTATGCAACAAGCTTCACAGTAACTCAAGAGCTGTCGTGACACTCACCATTTGCCATATCTGCATTATGTTGTCCTCTGATACTGAACAGATTACCCAAGGCTCATTAGGATTCCAACTGAAGTCTGAAATTTTGGCAGTGTGTCCTCCATGAATAAACTGTTAAAAAACCCCACAAGCTTCAGTAAGCCACTTCACCTCTAGAGAAAAATCTGTTAAAACCTGGGATTCAGAAGTTAAATTCATCATGCTGATGACTACACAAAGAAGAAAAACTTGCTACTAGAGATTCACAATACAGCCGTAAAGAAGGCGTGTGTGGAACAGCACATTCCACTCATCGCTTATGGACATGGATGCAATTGCTGAGACAGCATTTAAGCCAACAGTTCATCTTATTTTAGCAACAACCGACTGACATCCTCAAAATTGTGCTACTTCACACAACGTTGGCCTGTGAAATCCAGCAGTCTTTTATATCCATTACTTCATCTAGTTATATGAGCACTTACACAGTTACACAGGAAATGGAGAAACCAAACTATAAGCATTTTTACTTGTTTGCTTCCTAAGGAAGCAAAACAAAACATAAGCCTTTGTACTTTCTGCATCAGTAAGGTTAGTTATATGGGACCTAACTAGTCTAATGCAAGATAAACAATGTGAGGCCTTGGCTTTACATGCATTTAGTTATAGAACAGTACAGACAAGCACACGGCCGAACTGTAAATACTTTTCACAATACAGATGTGCAAATCATGCCCAGAACAGCTTTGAAAAAAATCAGTGCCTTCAGAACTGAAAAGAGGAAGCCTACTGCCAATGGAAGAGGAAGCCTACTAACGCAATGGACTGAAAACCGGGGATGTGAAAAGATTTAAGAACTGCTGCAGTTTTAGTAGTACAGCCATAAGGCATCATACTGCCATGTAACATGTCTGCACACTGAAACCTGAACAAAAGCGTACCAGCAACTCAGGAGGCCCATCTTCTGCGTCCTCTGCAGACTGCTCTTCTCCAATTTTACTGTAAGAAAGTAGTTTGCACTTTTTATTAATCATGAAAATTGCATCAGCTTAACAGTTCCTAGCCTTTGTTTACAGTATTTACTTTTGCTATTGGTTTTCCTCACTGTCAAGTAACTATAAGCCTCAGGTATAAAACATCAACTGTTTGGCGTTATCATTCCTGAAATGGAATCTAACTTGTGCAGCACATGGAGGCAGAAATCACTACTAAAGAAGACAGAAAATAACTCTATTAGCAAGAAACCCTTATAGAGGAGTAACATTAGGAGCACTGCGCTGCTTCTGTTGTACACCCAGAAGAACCAGGTCTGAGTTAAGCGAGCAAGAAAGGCTATAGAACAGCACAACTGCAGTCTACCAAATAAAGCAGGTCTGCAGCCTTTTTTTTTTTTTTTTTTTTTTTAAACTATCTGTTCATATATACTAAAAGAAAGGAAATGTTTTTCACCTCAAATCCCATACATTAAGCCGACGATCAGTACCACTTGAAGCAAGAATTGTTTCGTTATGAGGAGACCAGTGAACCTATTGAAAGAAAACAACTTGACTGGAGCAGTTACCGATTTCTACATATCCTGAATACCCATCACCAGCACCTGGCCACTAATTTTCAACAACTATACTCAAAACATCTGTTTCTTCCAGCGCAAAGGATATCCTACAGCTCAAACAGAGCACTTTAAAGTCTTAAGATTTCTCAAATTGAACAGCCAACATTATTTCACTATTACAGATTTACCATATAATGAAATTTAATTGTCTAAAATTCACTGTTACTTGCACCCACCAAATAGGCAGAGCTCACAATATTAGATTTGAACCCAAGTCCTCTCTACAGCAGGATATTTTAGAGAAACCTTCTACTTGTACTGAAGGTACTTGCGAGCTCCCAGTGTATTTTTAGCACTAAGCTGACTACTTGCTTCAGAGTCAAGTGGGGAAAGGCAGAAAGAAACTATGTGGTACTGTCTGTATTTGTTGAAACAAAATTCACTATTTAATGTTGAACAGACTTATCGTGGTGGGTCACCATGTGAAAATCTACATGTTCTCATCCAAGTCAGCACTCTTCTAGCTTTTTTTCTACAGCTTGTGAGAAAAGTTTACCCACCTGAAAAATTTCATCTTTATGTGACTCAAAAGAGTGGAGTTTCAATTTTAAGTTTCGAAGATCCCATAAAGCCACCGTCTGGGAGAAGTAACAAGAAATTGTTTTTACTATAATGCCTACAGAATTATCATCTAGAATACTTATGAATTTAAAGCATACGCAAGTAAAAACCTTGTCAGCAGAACCAGTTGCTAGAATGAACTCGCTGTAAGGATTGAAGGACAGACAGTTGACCTCGGCTGTATGAGCATCTACTGAATGACTTGGCTTGGATGTGGTGTTAGATCTTGTGTCCCAACTGTTGCAATGAAGGGTTTGGGGGAGGGCAGGGGGCAGGGAAGAGAAAGCGAGAGTGAACACATAGATTTTTCACAGCAGGTTCTTTTTCACTACACTACGTATTAGTTTAAGAGACTACATTATTATTAAACCCATGTCTGAAGCTACAGTTTTTATTACATAACCTTTCCTTGTGTTGTGCCTGTTGTACACGAGCAGTTTCCACCAGAAAGCTGACATACATATTCATTACATCTTATTTTCAAACCATGTGCACACATTAAATAACGTGCAGATTTCAGTGATTCTGCAGCACTGCTATAGTTGATTGCACTAGAGAGCTGCATTAGACCATTCCATAATTCAGATTTTTTTATCCAAGTGCTCTGGACTGGTCCACTGACAGCTCACAGCAGACACTATCTAGAAACTGCTTAACCCCAACTTACATCATAAGCTTCTGGTCATCCGCCACAGATCCAAACAGAGATTCATGGAGCAGATGCCATGCCACATCTTCTACTACTGCAGAGTGTCCAGTAAAGATCGCTTTCGCATCAACAATTTTGCCTTCTTTTGGTCCAGCACTTACATCCCATAAGCACACAGTCTATAAATAAGAGTCATGTTCTATTGTTACGCGGACTCTGGCTGTATTATCTTTCAAATAAATACATAATCACATTCTACATATAAACAGAGAGATGACACTCCTGAAACAGTTCTTTTGTTTTGAAAAGGAACATTTAATACGCCATAAGTGAGAAGTGAGCCGAGTTATCAATCAGTTTTTTGCTAATTCAAGGACCAAGGATTATTTATAAGGTCACAAAAGCAATTTATGCTTTTAAAGACCACAAAGAAATTTATAAGCTATTAGTTTAATTGACCTTTGAGAGTCTTACTAATTTACGGTCTCAGACCCAAGCCAGTTTAAAGGGTTGTTGTACAACAACTTCTTCCAGCAGACAACTATAAAAACATTCTGTTCTTAATCAAGAATTTTACAAAGAACTAGTTGTTGATTACAGCCTAAAGTCAACTGACAGCCTTTAGAATTATAATTACAATATGTTAGAGCTTCCCCACACAACAGTATACAGCTACACTAACCTAGTTTTTCTCTAATTATTTATTACAGCATAAATTAGGAGGGGTTGTTTTGGTTTGGTTTTTTTTTTTTTTAAACAGGGGAAAAGATGTGGTTTTTACATGATCATCTGATGCACTGAGAAGATGTCCACTCAAATTTGAGTTCCATGATAACCCATAGCCTTCCTTCTGGTGCCCTCTTAATCTAAGGTCAGGATTACACTCTCCACTTGGGTCTGAAAGAGAGGAAATTATTTTCATTTAGTTTCACCTTGCACATCAATCCGTAAGAGCACCACTATCACCTAAGACCCTTGTTTCTGTCGCAATAATTGTATTTTATACAACAGCCTCTTAGATCTTCTATCAAGATTCTCATATGCATAACCAGGCAATTAAAGTCACCGGAGATATGGACCTTATTTGGATTCCAGAGCCCATCACCTCTACTCCCAACTGCAGTTAAATACAAGTTTACCCCTCAACGACAAGAGACATTTTGCTTGAATTCAAGGAGTTTGACCCACCTGGTTTTGAAGGATGTTTAGTGTAATCAAATACCAACACATCAGCAGATGGTGTTTTTGTAGCAATGATGCAGGGATTCTGCGGCATGTAACGAGCACGGTTTACTTCACCTTCATGATTAATTTTGATCTCCGTCTCAATTTTTCCAGTCACAGATCCGAAGCCACCAAACTCTACATTTATCAGAAAAAGGTCAGTTTATCATATCAATTATTTTAAACAGGTGAAACAGTATTTCATGTCATCTCCCCTACTCCAAGAAACAGTGGTAAGCATCTTACCATGAAACATGAGAAAGACTAGCACCACGTGACACAACAGCATTAACACTTCAGATATTTTGGATCCTCTATGATACAAACTCTTTCAGAGATTTAGAGATTTAGTCTCTACTTGAGGTAGACGCTTATCAGTTTTCACCACAATTGACAGAGTTGGTAGAAATGTTATACAGATTGTACATCATAATGTTACCCAAGTTCTTTTAAGTTTCTTCTTTTTAGTCATAATTAATGATCTAGAATTAGTGTAAATTGCTAAGTATATGTCAGCTTTAGTATGACAGTAACAGAAAGTTAGAATACCATTAGACAGAACACTTATTAATAATGCTACTTCTAAAACATAATCTAAGAATGCATGCACAGCCCACCTCCTTTCTCACTGTCATATTGTGAAGCATCAAACTGATCATCGTTGGGAATCTGGACTCTTGCAACAACCAGGTGGTTCTGTTCATCAGATGTGTGTGTTCCCAAAACCAGCCAGTGTAGAGCATAATCCTTTCCTTCTGGCCTGTTTAGAGTAATAAATGCATGGAATAAAATTATGTGCCTGGTTCCAGCAGTTTGATAGCTAGCATCAATAACACTCAAGATCCAAACTTCTTCAGGGAGCTAGAAGAGAGACTCATGTAAGCAATTCTTTCTTTGTCACAAGAGACTTGTGCAATAAAGTGAACTAGACTCTGACACAAGCAAGTCAAAGATACAACCAGCAAGACTAGAGTGACAATACAAGTCAGTAAACACTGCCACTACGGCTTGAAAGGGACAATTACAATTTGCACAGTAGTTAAAGGTGACACTAATACCTACTTCTGTCTTTAATTCCCCTGGCAGTTCCACAGTATTGAATTAGAAAAAAATCAATACTACTTTCTGTAAAACACAAATATCGACAAGTGGCAACCTATTTCATTTACTTCTCTTAGAAGCTTCTACCAGTTATTATTTTATTTTAGAAGCTCATTTTTAAACACTCCACAAATTCTAGCTAACTAGAATCAAATTTCTCTTCTGGTAGTTAAATGCAACATTTAGTAATAAGTAAAAGGCTTGATGGACACTGCCATTTATCTCTGGAAGGAAAAATTTGAACAGTTAAAGCCAAGCAACTTCTGCATTCTTGAAAACAACAAACTAATTATGCTGTCTGAATCCAAGCAAACAGGAATTATTTGGGCAATCATAAACCACCACAGGTATTACTATACCGCTTCCAAGGCATGATCATACATTTTGAGGGGGAAAGAAAATTCTAAAACAAAATAAGAAACACACAATGCACACACACTTACTTGCATCACGAACAGGTGTCCCATCATGCCAGGTGCCATAGAAAGAGACAGTCCTTGCCTTAAATGGCTTACATATTTTGACACTGGATAATTGGAAATACCAGGTTTTAAATTGAATATAAAGTCAATCTGCAAAATACGAGGCAAGCAGAAGTGTTCCTCATAAGGGCTCCACACCCTCACATCCCCTCTTCATTTTCTCTGTGCCATGACTAGTTAGCTCACATCTCTCAGCATCTTCCCCAAACATTCTAGTATATAAAATTAAGTGATCATCTAACCACCAGGTGTAACATCACAGATGTAAGGTGGAATTCTAAAGAAAGAGACCATCCTCTGATTATTTCATGAACTTTACACATAAGATATTTTAAAACCTAGCTGTATCCAGTTTACAACAACAGGAGGGACCCAGTTCTTGTCCACTACCTCAATGGAGCCCTGAGTGGCTACCGCGACAATTTAAGTCCTATAGTAGCTGGCACATGAACAGAATCTATCCCCTTCTTCAAAATTATTTAAGAAATTAACCAATGAGCCCACAATTTTCAGGGGGAGGTGGAAGAATGGAAAAATTAAAATATGTGAAGTCAACAGTGAGCCAGGGACAGAACCAGGACACAAAGCCCCAGTCTTAGAACAATACTCTCTTAAATAAGTCCAGACTTAAAAAAAAACCTAAATAAAATGGGAGACAGACACTATAGCTCCTACAGAATATTAATCTGTAGTGCACATACAGAAAAATAGTCTTCAAGAAAAAGCTAATTTGGTACATAGATTTCTCTGATCAGAATTAACTACAGAAGAGCGTTAGGTCTCATATATCAATAAATTGAGAAAGATTTCTCTCCTGACACCTCATGACATCTTCTGCTAGGCTAAGCTAGAGTTCTGTAAAGCATCAACTTGTGACTTTTTACCTCAAAGCTTCTGCATACCCAAAGGGTATTTAAAGTTGTAAGCAAAATAAAAGTGTTACAAGCTCACAAAGAGCAGCCTAACACAAATTATTCTCATCTTGCATGGTTTTTATCCTCACATTACTTCGCAGACATGGTTAGCAGAGACAAAAAGAGCAATGGAACAAGCAATTACACACTGCCTCAGCTCCCGCCTTCCAAACTAAGCAAACCAGCAGCTGAGCCCTGTGCCTCCCTGGCACCTTCCAGGCCTCTCTTCCCTTCTCTCACCTGGTCACATCAGGCAACCACTGCACGGTGAGGCTGGGCCACTCCAGAGCATGTGTCATCACCAGGTCGTACAAGAAGGGGGTGTTTTTCTTCCAGATCTTGTACTCCTCGCTGATGACGCGCTCCTCCACCGTGTCCTCCAGCACTGCGGGAAGGGAGGGAGATGAACCAGGGGCCCGCCGGGCGCTATACCCAGGGAGGCGGCGGCGTAGGAGAGGGGGGCCCCGAAGCGCCTTCAGGGGCGGCCGACGGGGGGACAAATACAACAGCCCCCCTCCCCCATCCCGTCGGAAGCTCCTCGCAGAGGAAGCCCGGATGGCCTCGGTCTCCCCCTCTCCCCCACTCCCCCCCGGGCATACGCGTCCCGCTGGAGAGAGGGAAGAGAGGGCCTCCTACCTTCCTTGCTCGCCATTTTGGGGGGCGGGTGGGGGGCGCGCACACAGGCGCGACGCGGCGCAGGACGCAACGACGAACGGCGCCGAGCATTCAGCAAGGAAGCGGGAGAGAAAAACGTCCCTCTGGGCAAGGGCAAGAGAATCACAGCAGGTTCTTCCTGGGGGGAAGTGGGCTTTGAGCTGACGCTGGCCGAAAGCCACCCAAACACGGCAGCACAAAGAGCTCAGCATGTGCAGTCCTCTTAGCACATGTTGACTCAAATGCTCCCACATAAAATGGCAGCTGTCTCTTCCAGTAAACAGATGCCTTCATGGTTTCAAAGGGCAGTGGATCAAGGTCATCTTTTCCCAAGGGTTAGCCATCTCTTTCTTTTCCCTTCAGGCTTGCTAATATGGTACATCAGTCCACTGGCTCATTGACACATCTCTTCCAGACACACTGATTCACACATTGATTCACTTAAGTGCAGCACCAAATGGAACCCCATTTTTCCCATGTTCTTTGCACCCCAGAGAGTCTCCTACTAGAGCCCGAAGGTGCCTGCCACTGAGCCCCCACCCCCTGGGGCTCCAGCCAGGCCTGCCATCTGCAGCACCCAGGAGAAAGGACCCTTCATCCAGGAAATATCAAGTACCTCTGGGTGTGATTTTTAATTTCCTGCAATGCTAAGATCTACAATGCGATGCCAGGCAAACAGCAGTGTTATTTGAGGTACGAGCTCAGCTCGTACCGCGGAGGCTCAGGCGCGGGGTACACTTTAGACGTCCGGGTTTGACGAGCCCGAGCTGCTCACCGAAATTTTGCCGTTGCCCCACAATCCCAGCGTAGAGAGCGGGGGGGCGTCAGTGGGGCCGAGAGGCCGCTACACAAGCCGTGCGGAGCCACGGACGCCGCGGGGGTGTTAATAACCAGTTTCTCTGCTTGGACGGTGCCCCCGGGCCCCACGGTGCCGTCGGGGACAGGCACGGTCACCGCAGAGAGCACCGGCGCTTCTGCCCTCCCCCGGTAATTAATAACACAAGCCAAACTGGGAAGCACTCCTGTCAGTACTGCTGGGGAAGATCAGAGTACCAAAACGTTACCCACGAGCATCGTTTATACTCTTCTTCCTTGCAGAGGAATAGAATGAAAATTCAAGCAGTGTTAAATAAAATCCTGCCAAACACTCAGGAGTCAGTGAAGAACAGAACCATTCTTCTGGCCCTCCTCTTGTTACTGTTACTGTGTTACAGCCATCCTACTCGTTACTACTGCTCTAAGGCAGATTTACCAAATAGGGCATCAGTCATTGCGCATTGGAAGTAGAAACTGGGAAACAGGAGTAGTAGTAGTATTAAATCATTCATTAGTTTTCATGAACAGAACCCAGGGTACATTCAGAAAGGAGGGATTGTGCAGTCAGTGAGAGGGAAATGAGAACAAATTACTTTTTTTCTACAGAAGCGTCCGAAATACAAAATGCAAGATATCCCTTGCCACCAATCAGAAATGACAATAATTCACCCATTAAAGGAGAGAAGAACAGCCCACATCTTTGACGTCAGTTAAAAAATGATGTCGGCGCGAATGAAGACAAGAGATCAGCTTCCTGGAAGCAAGCGGAGGCAGCTACACTCAGGAGACGTGGGACAACCCAGGTGGAGCAGGAGGGAGCGGTGCCGCAGCCGGCCGTGCAGGGCTGCTGAGGTGCTGGGCAGCCGGCCGTGGGCTGCGGGGAGAGCTGCGCAGTGCAGGGCTGTGCTCAGCCTCCGGCGCAGGGGCTGCGCAGGCTCTCACAGCCGCAGCCTGTCTCGCTCAGCTGCGCTCCGCAGTAGAGGGAGGTTTGGGGCTTGGGCAGTAAAATAGAGATTTCTCGGCCGTCCAGCAGCTACCAGGCAGCCTGTGTGCCTTTGATACAATCTTACAGCAATGAATGACAGTTGAACTGTATTTATTGTGTCTTAACTAATAAACCCTAAAGTATACTAAAACCAGCTATTAATCCCACTTTACAACTAGAAATCATAGAATCATAGAATGCTTTACGTTGGAAGGGACCTTAAAGATCATCTAGTTCCACCCCCCCTGCCGTGGGCAGGGACACCTCCCACTAGACCAGGTTGCTCAAAGCCCCATCCAGCCTGGCCTTGAACACTTCCAGGGATGGGGCATCCACAGCTTCTCTGGACAACCTGTTCCAGTGCCTCACCACCCTCAAAGTGAAGAAATCTGTAAGTAAAAATGGTTACAGAGGCAACAGCTGAATAGCTAATATTTTTCGGTAATGGTGCTGAAAATAACAGAATGTTGCTTAACTTTATAGAATAAATGCATGTTTGAACTATTTGTTAGTTGTGATTAGGGCATGGAAGACACCGAACTGCCTTACTGAATCCTCGGTCACGTAATATCAGTCAGTCTTACAGAAGTTTTAAATCCTATTGTTGTCTAATAGGGTCAGTGGTATTGTCTGACTACTGTGGTGAGTGACACACCTTCTTTTAAGCTGTCACAGGAAAATCAAACGTGTGGCTTTGCCACCATGCCCGCCCAGCCTTTCTGTTTCAAAAGCTCATCTCTGTTTCAGCTATTACTACCCTCAAGACCATTTAATTTAACTGCTTTCTATTGAGCTTGAATGAACAGTGCTTGCCACAGCCTTAACCCGGCTAGATCTTTCTGGCAGCTGCTGACACTTTACAGCAGAATAATGGAAATAGAGGCAGTTAGGAATCAGGTTAGATTCTCCTGAATCTCCCTAAACATTCAAAGGAACTTTTTTCTTGAAATTGCATGGGTGTTCTTAGCATGTGGTGATTTGGAGTCTTCAGATGAATTCTTGCTTCAGCATTAAACTCAGGGAGCTGAATCCTGTATCACTAAGGCTCATATGCCTTGAGTCCCACAAGGGGAGGAAATTAGCTCCGTAGTGGAGCTCACTGTGCTCAGCTAGAGATAGTGGCAGGAGAGAAGGGAACATGCAGCCAAATAAGAGCCAGCATTTTTTAATTTCCCTCTGTGAAGACACTCTTCATGGGCTGAGCCTTCTACGGTCTGGACTCAGTTTTTCAAACAAGGAATCCAGTTATGGAAAATGTTTGTGTCTAGGAGAGGCTGGAGAGTCAGCACGCAGTAATAGCAGCTGAAGGTTGCAGCATGGGAACTGGGGAAGAAGGCTGAGGTAGGCAGCCAGCTCCTCTAACAGGCAGCCTTCCTTAATGGACTGTTGCTTTTTTGGCCAGAGTGCTGAAAAAACAGAAGTCTTTTGGTGAAGAAGTTAAATATATATATTTAATTTATTTATTTATATTTATATCTATATAAATATATTAATCTTCCTCTCAACCCTGCACAAATTGGAATTAAAGTTATGCATGGCTTACTTATTCCAAACGGGAGTCTTGTTAAATTAATTGGAAGCTGTGAAATAATCCAGTACATAGGAGTGCACGAGTGAGTGTGTTAACACAGCCTTGATCATACAAGATGATTTACCAGCTTGCCTTTGGCAATGCTTACTAGTTGTTTTGGTATATGCTGCCACGTATGTGCCTACTCCAGCAAAGTGCCGAGGTCTTCCTAAAATGTTGGAGAGCGAAGACTGAACCTTTCAGAGTCTGTGTGTTGTTACAGAGCGTTGATCAATTAAACCTCAGATACTGCATAATGGAAATCTCTGTCAGGCTTCCTGGCTTTAAGTGACCTTTGTTAGCTCTCACTGAAGGGTGATTACATGGCCCTTTGAAGGATCAAGGCTGTATGAGCATTTGGGTAGGCTGCTCTTTGTGCCTTTTGCTGTAAACAGCAGTAATTTTTTTGCCACAGCTTACCTGGAATATGATGGGGGAAATGTGATTTAATTTTGGAAAATGATAAACAAAATTGTCCTTCAATGATGTCATGGAGGGCTTGGCTGCACTGTAAGTGAAGAGAGGAATTGCTCCCCAACCCTCCACAAATGTTTGCAGGCTCTGTTCAGCATTTGCAAATCGCGTTGGATTCTAATGGGCTGCCAGGACTAGTACTAGCTTTGGTGAACAAAACCTGTCATGCTTATATATCAAGATATTTGGTAAGTGACCAGCACAGTTATCTTCTTCTTGCTAGCAGTTATACTTGCACACAGCCAAATTTTGTTTGAATTTAAATCACACAAAAAAAATCCAATTATTAAGTGCTTTTCTCCCATTGAGATTGTAATGGAAAAGACAATTTATAAACAATACAGCTATCAAAGAAGGCACATCATCAACTCTTAGGTTGGTTATTTGCAATTCATCAGCATGGTCATATCTGTGACCACACATCTAAAACATATCCTTTGATGCCCACACTTTGTAAGGAAAGCAATTATCCAAGGCCGTTGTTCATCACTTGCAGTATGTGTAGAATATACGATAAATTAGTTTTGAAGTAAAAGAGTGACTTGAATCACAAGCTTTATTTTATTAAGCTGTAGTTCCTTCAAACGTAAGCATGAAATACTGCATTTTCATTTCAGTAAAAAAAATATCTGTGTCCTGCATCCTCAATTGTATGTGCTGCATCATGCTTCAAATCGCCTGATACACTTATGAAGATTTATGTGCACTTATTAATTTTCGGCTCGAAGACATATGCTGGTTTATTACCCTGCAAAGAATTAGCTGGCTTGCTGATGCTTATGTCTGTTATACATTATGCAGAGCTGATGGATGTTCATAGCACAACTCAGCAAGTAGGTGTAGGCATTACTGTGAATGACCATCTCAACCAGAAAGTTGTTTAAAGAAAATCAAGTTTGCACATGTCATGGTTTAACCCCAGCCAGCAACTAGGACCAAGCAGCCACTTGCTCACTTCTCCCCCTCTCCAGTGGGATGGGGAGAAGATCTACAAAAATAAGGAAAACTCGTAGGTTGAAATAAAGACAGTTTAATAAGTAAAGTAAAAGCTGTGCACGCAAGCAAAGCAAAATGAGGAATTTATTCACTGCTTCCCATGGGCAGGCAGGTGTTCAGCCATCTCCAGGAAAGCAGGGCTCTGTCACTTGTAACGGTTAC